GATCATATACAACTAAGGATACCAACAGCCAGCTGAAATCTACCAGTTGATTCTCACCTGCATATCTAACCTTCTTTTAAAATTGCCCTCACCCCTACCTCAAAAACTGTAGATGTTTCTTCCCTTATAACAGGGGTGTCAAACTCAAGGCCCGTGGGCCAAATCTGTCCCACAGGGCGCTTAAATCTGGCCCATGGGGCCAGCCTGGAAATAGCAAAGGATCGGCCCGTGGTGCCTCTGGCAGCCAAAATGGGGCACGAGGCCCACTGCTTTCAGTCTGGATGCTTCTTGCAGCATTTTGCCGGGCAAGTCGGGGTGCAAGGGAACTGCGCGAGGGCCCCCCTCATGCCCCGTTTTCGCCGGCAGGGTGCTGCAGGAGACGTTCGTCCCGTCTCCTACCACACCCCCACCCCCCGGCTCGACGGAGAACTACAATGCTGATGTGGCCCTCGAGGAAATCCAGTTTGACACCCCTGCCTTACAATGTTGACAAGCCTGGAAATTTCAATAAACCTAATTAATCATACAATACCCTCTAGAGATTTGGGGCTATTAAAGTTAAAGAAATTATACATACCGTGTTTCTGTGAAAATAAGACATGGTCTTATTTTCTTTTAACAACACCCCCGCCCCAAAATAAGCACTTGGCCTTATTTCAAGGGAGGTCTGATTATTTTTGAGGTACAGGAGGCGGCCAGCGTGGTCACCTCATGGCAGCTGCTGTATTGCAATATTTTCGGTGGGGGTCTTATTTTAGGGGATGTGCTCAAAAGCCCGATTGGGTTTATTATCCAGGGAGGTCTTATTTTCAGGGAAACAGGGTACATTCCACGCATCTCGTCCCAAAAGCATCACTTCTTACATTTTCCACTCTACGAGGCACGTAGAATACCAACCTCAGGGTTTTTGGCCCAAAGGGACCACTGGAAAGTCTCCAGCAGATTAAAATCTCAAACTCCCGCTTATCCACCGCAGGAGCCGGACTGATTAAAAGAGCCATTGATTAGCTGACAGCCTTTCCCATTGAATAATGAGATAATGGGTGAGCATTACAAAGTGATTCCCTTACCCATGTCTTCATAAAGAGGGGAGGAGGTGTTATACATGAGAAAGATACAGTTCCTGCAAGATCCATGTGTTTGTGTGTGTGTGTGTGTGTGTGTGTGTGTGTGTGTGTATGTATCAGTGGTGGGTTTAGGCAGTACGCCCCAGTACAGGCGTACCGGAGCCTGCCCGGAGCACTGGATACTATTCCGTTACGGTGCTCCGGAGGGCCCACCAGCCCGCCGGAACTCCTTATCGGTCTTTTTAAGTGTGGCACGACAAAACCGCGGTCCACTAAAGCGCGCCCGATTAAAGCGCGTACCTGACGTCATCAGCAGCGCGAC